ATTAATCTATATAATAATATGTTGGATTCAGACTACAGTTTACATTTTTGTAAACAAAACAACATTTATTATTTTGTGACCCTTTGCGGTAACACTGAGGACCGGATAAGGAAACATGGCCCTATAATGAAAACCCATTTTTACTTCATTATTTTCCCTAAAATATGCATTTAAACATGTCATCTCCTATATTTGACACATTTTGTTGGCTTGTGTTTTGTCGTGGCTTGACTTCTTTTTTGTTTATATCTGTCCGCCTTCAGTCTGTGTCTCCACTCTGTTTCTCTGAATACCATCATTATCTCACCTATACCTCTTTTTTTAAATCACCATCAACACTATTAATAAACCTCATTCTCATTCTCTCGGTGTCTTCCACTACTTCCTTCTTCTTACAAATCTGAATTTCCAACATTTTGTATCCTGTTTTTAATTTCGTTTTTGGTAAACCCACAGAGGGTTGATTAGAGGGTTGATTAGAGGGTAAATGGTTTTAGGAAGTTCAATTTAGACTACAGACTCCCAGAACAGTGATCAATGTCTACCAATTACATCACTGCAAGCATTTTCCCTTCAGAGATTCAGCCATTCTATAAATTCAAGGAGGACAAAACCGTTTTTGAAAAGTTCACTTACCAATTCCCAGAGTAAATTGCACTCGTTAAAACCATTACGTATGAAAAGTCAATTATGTCTGGTGTAGCACTGAGAGTGTTTTCCCTCCTGGTGCCATATCAGGGTTTTATTTGTTCTTTCATTCCATTTTTTCAGTTTCTTTTCTCTTTCATACTTTTTTTCAAAATTGACTGATTTTATAGACGATTGCTTTTCCAATGAAATAGTTTGCAATTTCTTTAGTTTTATCCCAAGTTTTTAAACTTTTGTTACAATTACTGGTTACCTTTATAAAAAAAAGTAATTTATAACCAAATATGAGTATCATAATATAAAAGTAATGTAACTTGATTACTTTCATTTACTTTGGATTACCTTAATATCAAATGCAAAGCAAAAGGTGCAGAGAGAAAATAAATAGCAATGCTTTGGTGTATTAGGTAAGACAACACAACAATGTAAACTTAAAAAAAGAAGAAACTAAGAGTCCCTTAGATATTTAGAATCAAAAATATGTCCTCAGCTCAGCGATTTGAAAAATATGAAAAACATGCCGTTCAATAGGCTTATTTGGGTAGTATATTCACCAACAGTGAAACTACTTTAAGAACATATAGGTTCTTCATTTTCATGTATTGTAACATTGTAATCCTGCTAGTAATTCCCAATTTTTTAGAAATGTAACAGTAATCTGATTACATATTTGTTCAGTTACTGTAAGGGAATACAGCTACTCTTTTGTGTATCCTGATTATGTAATCCTGTGACATGTAATCTGTTATTATGGATTCCTAGCCTGGTGGTAGAGTGTGAACTGATTTAAGGTCATTGACTCTTAATAGGCATTTTCTTCAATAGGAAATCATTCTAGATGTAATACATTAATAAAATGGCCATGTTATTGATTGATTTTTTCATCCAGACTGCAGAAAATCACTATTGAATAATCAAAATGTCTACAAACAAACCAGAAAAATCGATGATTTAGATCAATTCAAACAGGCCATTATTAGTGGCACTGTGCCAAATGTATTGTACCAGTGCTGTGCAAAAAGCCGATCTTGTATTTGGATAGTGTCTGTGTTCATTATGTTGCTTCTCCAGTACATTTGTAACTGTCAGTAAAGTGGGGAAACAACAGCACAAAGAGAGCACCGCATAATGAAGTGCTTTTTTATTCTATTTGTGGCACACTTGTCTTGTCTATTCTGCCAACCGAAGCCTCCATATTGTCTGTCAATAGCAATTTGGCGACTGACGCCACAGCATGCATAAAGCTAGCAGGAAATAGTCTGAGACCTAAATTGTGAATTTCAGTTTTAATTAATAATCACGCAGCTGGCAAATGTAAAACGTTTCCTTCCTTCCATGCTGAATCTCTGTCCCCCCCCCACTCCTGCTTTGTTTGTGATATCTGTTTCCTGTTTTGCTGCAGAGTTCATCAATACATCTATCATGAGACACACGTCTGCACACACAGTAACATGCATGGACAGAAATACACACACATCTGTCTTACTTTAGATGGCAGAGTACTGTTTGGACTTGCAAGTAGTGTCAGTTTGTATTTGCTCCAGTTGAGGTGAATGAAAGTTGTTCTGTAGGGCTCAATGTATTTCGAAACATAACGTTTAAAAAACCCAACAACGACATTTATATTTTAAAATCATCGTCCTAGTTATACGGCGGAAACAACAGTCGTAAGAGAATATTTATTTGGAAGTCATTTTCCTATCCTATGGAGATAGAAGCTAGCTGCTGTCACGTTGTTTTATAAAGTTTAGGTCACCCCAACAAAACTATGTTTGCCTGAAAAATATTTGGAAAACAGCAGAAGTCTCAGAACCTCCAGAGATAAAACAGAAGCTATCTGCATTACTGGATATCAGGAAAGGTTCTGTTTGTCTTCTAAGAGTTATTTTAATTTACATCTTATTTGCACTACAGAATGCATATTGTATGAAACGTAAAACAGCTCCTTTTTCAGTCAACAAAACAAGGAGACTACAGGAAACGGATAATTATTTTCCCCAGTATCTCCTCTTGCATGCTGAAAGATTACTTTTTTTATTTAGGTCAACTTTGTTGAGGTCGACGAAAGAGAACTTTCGTCGTTGAATTTTAAGAAGTCAAGTTAAATTCAAGTGTTGACATTTTTGATAAGTTGACCATGGGCGCGGGAAGGGGGGTGCTGAGGGCGCTGCAGCACCCCCTAGCGGCAGGCAGGGGGTGCGGAGCTCCCCTGTCTGAATTATTATTTGACGGTTATTGCTGCTCCCGTGTGTGATATGTAGCCAATACATTCCACATTGTTGGTAAAATAATATTTTGGCCTGCCCCGAATGTTTTTTCTGTAGCACCGCACAATTCTACCTCAATAATATAATACATTAACCGTGTTTTACGTGAACCTCATCATGACACTCGAGAGGACGGCAGGAGTGTAATTTCCCGTGTTCAGTGAATGCAACAGAGGCAAGACACCAGACCAATCAGAGAGTTGCATGGAAATAAAAGTGTGCTTGTGTCATTCAAACCCTCTGTTTGTGTGTGTGTGTGTGTGTGTGTGTGTGTGTGTGTGTGTGTGTGTGTGTGTGTGGTGTGTGTGTGTGTGTGTGTGTGTGTGTGTGACGGACATACAGAGCTGTTTGTTCCACAACAAGCTGGAGGAGAGCTCTCCTCTCAGACTGAGAGGCTCAGGTGAGCTAAAGGACTCTCTGAGTGTTTAGATAGTTAACTTTAGTCTAAGTTATCTCAGTGGGTCTCAAACGGTTTGGTCACAAATTATTCAAAAGATTATTTCCGCGGCACACCTTCATATGATCATTATAGTTATAAAACAAATAAGAGAATAAAGGAAAAACAGGTATGAAATACTGTATGGCAGTAAAACAAGAATACAGTTTGAAAGGGGAGTGATTTGTAAAATATCCATAAAGAAAAAGAACATCTGCTTAAGTTACAGTTGTGTTTCATCTGGGTGTTGAGAGATGTTTCCATAGATCTCTTAATGTTGCTCTCAATGTGCACCAGATTGATGCTTTCAACTTCAATATTTAAAAACAATCTTCCCGGGGAGCATCCCCCCGGACCCCCCTAGAGGAGGTGAGGTCCTAGAGGAGGTGAGGACCCCCCTAGAGGAGGTGAGGTCCGCTCCCCACTCGTAAAAGATAGCACTTTACCCCTGCCTATATGCCGTGAGCTGATTATCGAGCCTTCATTGTAACAGTCGCGGGTGTACTGTGTGTTTGCTTGTGGGGAGTGCTTTCGTGCGTGCTCTATACAGTGCCCGTAATAGTGTTCACTGGAGTCCAGCACCTCAGCACCCCCACTCAAAATACCTTCCCGCACCTCTGTAAGTGACCAATACAATTACCTAGGACATAACAACCTGTGTGTTGAACTGTACATCCAACCATCCATTATAACTACCTAGTTTATTTTCCTTCACCCCGAATAAAGGACGTGGGTTTGTTAAAACAATGTTTATAATGGGACACAGGGTTCGGTCCGGATTGATGTGCAGTTCGGTCCGGATCCGGATCTTGGTCCGGAGTTTGAGAAGCCCTGCGCGACAGGGTGTACTTTGAGGGTTTGTGACTTTGCAGACCGTTTACATCCATAAAAAGCTACATAACACACAAGGGGACGGGTAATAACCGGAAAAGCATGACATGGGACCTTTAAAGTTTGAAATAACTTTAACTGAACATTGTAAAATAGTACAATTCTTCTCTTATCCAAGTTTTTTAATGAAATCTGAGAAATACAGTGTGAGCTGCCTAAAAGAGGTAAACACAGTCATCGTTTATGGCCAACAGCACAAAGCCGCAAGTTTGGCGTTTTTTCACAGACTCAAGAAGTTTAAACCAGAAAATAGAAATGTTACCAACCCAAAGCAAATATGTTTGATGTACTGAATAGTTTGGTAAGGTTTAAGTTCTAATATTTAGTTTGAAGTAAAACAAAAAACACAAATCCCAACCATCCAGGAAAGCATACTGGTAGCAGCCTGTCAATCACAAAATGTTGACGCTCTTAAGAATACACTGCTCTATCATTTATTTGTGGGAACATGACTTACAAAATGAATCATGCTGTTCTGAAGAAAACTTGAGCCTACCATTTGAGACTGTATACTTAATATAAATGTTTTAATGAAGTAATAACTAAAGTTTGGAGAAAAAAAATGTGATCCCCGGCTAATAGATAGAATGCAAGTTTAAAACACATCCGCATTGACACTTTCCAGAACCCCATACTACAAACCTAAGGACTATTTTTATACATTTTGGAAAGTATTCTCAGTGAAATAACCACAATCAGATGTTTCTCATTCAATACATTCTTATAATAGCCTCCATCCTTCCTCCGATGTCTTTCAGGTTATGCTCCAGTCACAGGCATGTGCCACCCAGTCCGGAGCTGCACCCTAAACCATGAAGATGGCTTCTCCTCGGCCTTTGTTGTGGCTCACGAGACCGGACATGTGTAAGTTCTTGTTAGGTTATTTATTCTCTGTCCTTGTAGGTGTTTTCTTAGCACCTCTATACTCCATTACTCTTCCCTAGGGTACGCTGTGTTGTGACGGAAGGGAAGGGAAGTTATTCTCCCTCTGCTGAATAACACAGCCTCAAAAGACAAGTGTGAATGTCTCCCCGGGCTCCGTTTCCATGTGATCTCTGATTGTGTGTGATCTCTGTGTTGGCCTTTATAGTAAGTAGACTGGACCTCAACACCCTGACAGTGAACATGCCTTTATCGAATTTAAATGTTTGTTTATTGAGCACATGTCCAAAAAATACATGCACTCTGAAACTGTTTGTCCCCTTTTTCCTTTACCCACCCTAGAATACATATTGTACATAGCCCCAGTGTAAAATGAGACATTGCCACTGTATGTACTATGCCTCGAGAGCCTTTCTTGTGCTGGCAGACACATAGAAACATATTGGTGGGGCGCACTTCGCACACACAAGATAATTCCACGCGTTCCGCACTCACCTTTTGCTGGGCCCGCGTGCCTTAGCACCACTGCTATGACTCCAACTCACACTACCTCAAAAAAATGCCACTGTTGAAGTCTACATCAAAGCAACACTACTATATCTGACTCACACACACAAATGTGTCAAACACAGCTGGAAACATATTTGAAGACTGCGAATGATGGTACTGCAGAAATACTCACCACAACACACTAGGGGTGTAACGGTATCCGTATTCGTCCCGTACCGTCACGGTTCAGACGTCACGGTTCGGCACACGACGAATACGCCACACGACGAATACGCCTTTTTTTTACGAGTGGGAAAAAAGTCTGTCATTCAGGGCAGTATCAACTGCACTATTTATAATCCAGGGGGCGGTATTGCGCCTAAAAGCTGTTTACCAGCCGCCCTTAAACAACAAATGAAGAACAAGAAGAAACAACAACAAAACGAACAAAATACAAGAAGAAGAAAAGTTAGTATGGCGATTTCAGATAACACACAGGAGCTAGAACCAAGCCCCCAGGAAGTGCGCCGGACTCAGATGAAAATATTCGTGCTGGCCAAACGGCGGTACTACACTTCCGTTTGGTTGCCAGGCCCGGAAACACTTTTTCCCATTGACTTACATGGGGAAAGAGTGGTCTGTAACTCGTTGGATACTTTTTTAAAAACTAAATAAACTACCCAGTATGAACACTTGTATAGCCCTTATTAAAAACATTTGTTCCTCAAGTTGTAAAAATGTGCTAATAACGTTATTCTGAGAGTTATTTCCCTCTGCATTATGAACGCGCATCTAACCCACGGGACCGCGCCGCCCGGCACGTTCATGTTACGTGTCCCGACCAATCAGAGCACACTGTGCTCACAGGGAGGGTGGGGGCTGAAGCTATTGGAGCTACAACGAGCCGTTAAAGGCAGAGTGAAATTCAGTGAATACACGTAGTTTACAGAGATGCTGTAAGAGAAACCAATGTGAGTTGCGTTTATCTTTACCCATGGATGCACAATAAGAACTGATCCATATCGTCTTACTGCCATCCCACGGAGCTGTAATAATGGATATATTGCACATGTTTGCTGTAATTCATTATCATACTACATGGGCTGTATGATTAAATCTTGTACCGTAAATGTTGTATTAAATAAAGTTAATATTACCGACATTATTAACGTCCCTGTAGCTTCGTATTGCACTAAGAAGCTTATTGCACTGTATATAAATATATATATATACAGTGCAATAATTATTTCATGCTAAATGAAGCTCTGTTGGATATCACTAGATCCTGTTACAGCGTAATATAAGTACATAACGATTGATGTGTACATTAGCATCATTACTAGCTAGCCGCTAACTGCCGCCTCGTTCATATCAAATCCATGATAACAACGGCCCATTCCCAAACCGCCCCCTACACCCTACCCCTCCGTTTGCGCGTTCACGCGGAGGGTCCGCCATATTGAGGGCTGTTCCAAAGCAACGAGTGTGGAGGGGGAGTAGGCTATCAAGCCCTCAAACAGCGAGTCTGCAGCGGTGCTGACTTGAGACCGGTCTCTACCTGACCGGAGTCCCGCTGTGTGTGTCCGTCAGGAAACACGCTGTTTACAAGTAGCCTAGTTCCAGCAAACATCCACTGATAAACTGCGATGTTAACAACCTCATGATGACCTCATATGTTTTTAACTTAGGATCACATATAAGAAGCTTATAAACATCAGGTTTAAAACTAAAAGAGCTTTGAAACACAATGAAAGATGTTTGGAGTTTTATTTGAGTTATTCATTTAAACTTTTTGTCTAAGCGATGCTGATTTGAAACCGTTGTTACATACAGTTACGTATTTCCTGTTTCTGCCGGAGAGAGGGGAGGCCGTCCCAAAGCTTGCTGCTGTATTTACTCCCTCCATCTGACAGGAGGGAGCCTCGTTGAGCTGCGAGTGTGGCTACAGACGGAGTTCACTCCATCACGGAGGGGTAGGGTCGAGGGAGTGGTTTGGGATTGGGCCAACAATCCATTACCATGCTGTCATGAACGCGCGGTGCAGTTACGTGTACGCAAATTGACGTGCTTGATGTGAACGAGCATTTTGGTTAAAGTTGCGCATGCTCTATGAGCGCACATACGGGTACTTCTCAGGCATGCTGGATAATCTGTGACGTTTCACTCTCTCAAAAGGTGGGCCATTTTATCATCATGCGCTAATGAGCAGCTCTCATAGGAATTAATGAGGCCCCGCCTCCCACGCTGTATGCAGTTCTTATTATACATCCATGGCTAGAACCCACCTGCTTCTTTTAAATCAGCTGTGTGGGAACATTTCGGGTTCCCTGTGGACTACAACAACGATGGAGTGCGAGTGGTGGATCGGACGAGGACGGTGTGTCGGCGTTGTTCAATAGCGGTGCGGTATGCTAATGGGCACGCCAAACATGCTAAATCATATCAGAAGGCATCAGCCAGATTTGCCAATCACCGGAGCCCGGCAAAAGACAACAGCAGTTCAACAGCTGATCCCCGCTGTTTTTAAGAAGACAATAGACATGAAAGCGGTGAGACCAAAATAAATAACGGAAGCTTTTGGCATATGTTTTTCAACGACTTTGCGCTCTTGAAACACTTTCTTATTATTTATGATGTCATATTTTCAAGACATCCTTTTTAGTTTTACAGCTTGATGAAACCTTTTTGTTTGACATCAGCCATTATAGATAATATGGCCATCTGAGTGTGTGTGGTACTGTTTGTGGTTTGTTTTTAACTGTTTAATACAGTTAATTATTCAAAATGTCAGAGTTCCTTATTTTTAAACTGAAACTTGCACTACTGTTCAAACATAAATAACAACAAACCTGGAATTATGCATTTGGGACTTTTTTTTGCTTTTTCTTGTTGTACCGAACCCGTACCGAACCGTGACCCCCAAACCGAGGTATGAACCGAACCGTGACTTCTGTGAACCGTTACACCCCTACAACACACTGATCAAAATGATGACTGTATTTGCAGACATGTCACTAGGCCACAACTAGGATTCCTGCTGAAATGAAAGTATTTTAGGATGTGAAGATCTCATGTCCCTTGCTTATTTATGTGGCACAAAAAGGTGGAGAGACAGAAAGAATACTGGAAATTACTGATGAATGTGGATGTATTAAGAGAGCTTAATACAGGCTGTAATCACTTATTGTTTGCTACTGTAGTGCTCTACATTCAATTCATAGTCTCTCTTTGTGTTATCAATCTTTTAATTGAGTATTATCTTTACAACATACAAATGTTACATTCAACGTTCATTCATTTGTTCAATTACATTTCCCTCCAGGTTGCTATGACTCAAAACATCATTTCAGATTTTTCCATTCTATATAAAGACCTTTTTACTTTCTTTTAATAAAAAAAACATTTAGAATATATTTAAAAAATCATGTTGACATTATTATTAACTTCAAAAAGATATAAATGAACATTAAAACGGTTGGACTTTAAGTGGTTATAGCTCACCATTTATAGAGCGGCTGGACAGCTCTGTACATTCCTCTATATGTTCAGATTCATCCAATCAACAGCAGGTTTTGGAATTGTTACTTTATTGTCTGATCTTGTTGAAATTTAAATGACTTTAAAAAATGGGAAGCAAGACGTCAGAGTGAGAAACGATAAGCAGCTGTGGGACAGACTCAACAAGCTATGACGGCAAAGACCCGTCCTGCTGAAATGTCCCCTACTGAAACACCGAATCCCTCGTTGCGGTTGTTGCTCTGCATCTGACCCTGGGGCCAAGTGAACCGAGGGTTTCCTCTACAGGGATCAATACACCTCTCCTGAGGGGACAAATATATGAAAACAATTAGAAACCAGGAGCTCGACAAACACACAGCTGTTGTCAGATTCAATTATTGAAACATTTGAACTCTGGCCGTTTTTTTTGCCACAAAAACATCTTTGGCCTTGATCAGCAAATGTGTGGATATGTTGTCAATAGTGAAAGCTAAAAAAAAAAGTATCTTGTATGCTCTTTGTGTATTCATAGTTCTTATTCTTACTGGCAACACATTTGCATCACAAGCAAAAAGAACATTTTCTATAGCTGATATAAAACCTGCAGAAGCTCTGCATCCTTTAATGCATGTGTGTATAAATAACTGAATAGGAGTTTGTGTTGGTGACACTGGAACATACAGTATTGACGCCTCATCTACTGACATCTACCAAAGTATTTATTGATGCTCACTATCTGTTGGCAGAACATGACCTCTCATTCACAGCAAGGACAGCACAGGATGTACAGCAGTGCACAATGGACCCACCCGTTACGTGATGATGGGTGACAGAGACCATATAAAAATGTGTATGAAAAAACACAACCCTAGCAAATGATACATAATGATTGACAAAACCCACTGGGGCTGCCTGTAGTATGATAATAATAATAATGGGTTTAATTTATAACGCACTTCATATCTGAGTTCAGATCCCGAAGTGCTACAAGCATTTAGCATGGAACAAAATAAAAACGTTACACAACACGGTAGAATGAATAAAAAGCAGTACAAAAAATAAATAAATAAATAAAAGGGTAGTAATACATCAGATAAAAGGTCTAGGAGATGGCTCTACTGAACAGATGGGTTTTGAGGCCTTTTTTAAAATGTCTCCCTTGGGGGATTAAGAAAGGTTCTTCTTCTTCTTCTTCTTCTTCTTCTTCTTCTTCTTCTTCTTCTTCTTCTTCTTCTGCAATGTCGGCAGTTAAGTTTGATAGCTCGTCAAACATTTTGATTATATTAATTCAACCATCTTCTTGAGATTGGCTGCCAATCACAAACGACAACTTGTGATCATGATACCGGTACAACTGTGGCTGCAAACATTTGTCACTGTTTCTCATTGCATTTCCAGTCTCTTCAGTTTACTCTCATATATATGCACAGAATTTCCAAAGGAATACTCGATGAGTTCAACTAAACCCCCCAGGTTAATTCAATAGGACTGACGGTGAGTCTGTGTTTGTAAAAGATTTAGAGTGAAGAAGAGAACCCCTTGGCCTGCATTGTATAAACAGTACCGAGGTCAAGTGTTGCAATGCATTATTTATATTTTAAAATGTAGTTTTGCAGAAAAAGTTATTTTGCGGATAGATGTCTGAATGCCAATTTTCTATTGCCTGGTAAAACAAAGTCAGAGATCATTTGGAAATATTTACGTGATGGGTGACGTATTACTAATGCTATGTACTAAGTGTTTTTAATGCAATACTGAAAACAAATTCCACTGGCTTAAGTGAAGTGACATGATAAAATGCATTATTTCTGTCTTTTATGTAACATGTGGCCTTCAGATTATTATGAAGGGATTTAGTTACGGTAATATTTGAATGATACAAATGTGCACTTCTACACATTTGTATCATTCCTAAAGGGAGCACATTTCTACATTCCAAGATGGCAAAAGCCCTCAGGCTACATCGTGACAAGCTTTCAAACATCCACCTGCTGCAGAAAAAAAAAAAGTGTCTAAAAAAAATAAAGAGTTTCACATTATGTAGAAGTTATCTGTTTATAACGATCAATTATTTGAGTAATTTAGGTTGTTTTCCACTTCGGTCCCCCAATATGTCAAAGGTGTTAAATCAGCGTATTTATTTAAAACTCCTTGGGCATTTGTCAATCTTGATAATCTGCAGTTTTATAAGTATTTCCTCGTGTCTCTCTTTGGGAATAGGCTGGGCATGGAGCACGATGGCCAAGGCAACCGCTGCGGAGACGAAACGGCGATGGGAAGCGTGATGGCTCCACTGGTGCAGGCAGCCTTCCATCGATACCACTGGTCCATGTGCAGCGGACAGGAGCTGAAAAGATACATCCAGTGAGTCCATGTTGGCAGTTTACATCCACAGATTGATCACTAATGTATCTATTATCTGGAAAGCACTCAGAGAACTCAAACCTCTATCAGGGCTAAAAAAAGAAACATGTTTGACCGCTAGAAAATCATCTTTCATCTGCTTTAAAAAAAAGCATGAAAATATGTCATGCTTAATGGTTGCCATCATTTGTATTGGAATGAATATAAGCAAAGTGAATGTCAAATCATGATCATTAATTTATTGTGTTGCTTCAGCCATTTGTTAAGAAAAGATGCTGATATATTTAGCTGATTTTTAATAAGCCACATCTGAATTTCTTTGAAAACAACAGTATTGAAACATGTGCCCCATGCTGTAATTGGTAACATGGTGCCACTATCTGCACCATAACATATTCCTATCAAATAGAAGTACTACAATTTGTGGAGCAATTTTGGGGAAATTCTCTTTAATAATAACCTTAAGCAACCTATATTTATAATGTCTTGGTAACACACTTAAGTGTACCTACATTAACACCATTAACCTGCAGCTGTCTTCCAAAAGCACTTAAACTGTTTGATACTCTGTTTGAAACCATCCATCCATCCATCCATCTTCTCCCGCTTATCCGTGGTCGGGTCGCGGGGGTAGCAGTTCCAGCAGAGAGACCCAAACTTTCTTTTCCCTGGCGACATCAACCAGCTCTGACTGGGGGATCCCAAGGCGCTCCCAGGCCAGCGAAGAGATATAATCCCTCCATCAGGTCCTAGGTCTACCCCTTGGTCTCTTCCCAGCTGGACGTGCCTGGAACACCTCCCTAGGGAGGCGCCCAGGTGGCATCCTAACTAGGTGCCCGAACCACCTCAACTGGCTCCTTTCTATGCGAAGGAGGAGCGGCTCAACTCCGAGTCCCTCCCTGATGACCGAACTTTTCACCTTATCCCTAAGAGAGACACCAGCCACCCTGCGGAGAAAACCCATCTCGGCCGCTTGTATCCGCAATCTCGTTCTTTCGGTCCATCCTTCATGACCATAGGTGAGGGTAGGAAAGAAAATGGCCCGGTAGACAGAGAGCTTTGCCTTCTGGCTCAGCTCCCTTTTCGTCACAACGGTGCGGTAAAGCGACTGCAGTACCGCTCCCGCTGCTCCGATTCTCCGGCCCATCTCACGCTCCATTGTTCCCTCACTCGAGAACAAGACCCCGAGATACTTGAACTCCTTCACTTGGGGTAAGGACTCATTCCCTACTTGGAGTGGACAATCCATCGGTTTCCTGCTGAGAACCATGGCCTCAGATTTGGAGGTGCTGATCCTCATCCCAGCCGCTTCACACTCGGTTGCGAACCGATCCAGTGAGTGCTGAAGGTCGCAGACCGATGAAGCCATTAGAACCACATCATCTGGAAAAAGCAGTGGTGCAATCCTTAGTCCACCGAACTGCAGACCCCCTCCCCCATGACTACGCCTCGAAATCCGATCCATGTATATTACAAACAGGATTGGTGACAAAGCGCAGCCCTGGCGGAGGCCAACCCTCACCGGAATTGGGTCCGACTTACTGCCGAGGACCCGGACACAGCTCTCGCTTTGGGAGTACAGAGATTGGATGGCCCTGAGTAGAGACCCCCTCACCCCATACTCCTGCAGCACCTCCCACAGTAACTCCCTGGGAACTCGGTCATACGCCTTCTCCAAGTCTACAAAACACATGTAGACCGGATAAGCGTACTCCCAGGCCCCCTCCAGGATCCTTGCGAGAGTAAAAAGCTGTTCCGTCGTTCCACGACCAGGACGGAATCCGCATTGTTCCTCCTCAATCTGAGGTTCGACAATCGGCCTGACCCTCCTTTCGAGTACCTTAGAGTAAACTTTCCCGGGGAGGTTGAGTAGTGTGATGCCTCTGTAATTGGCACACACCCTCTGATCCCCCTTTTTAAAAAGGGGAACCACCACCCCGGTCTGCCACTCCTTCGGTACTGTTTCCGACTTCCACGCAACGTTGATGAGACGTGTCAACCATGACAGTCCCTCAACACCCAGAGCCTTCAGCATTTCTGGGCGGATCTCATCCACCCCCGGGGCTTTGCCACTGTGGAGTTGTTTGACGACCTCAGTGACCTCCCCCCGGGAGATTGGTGTTGATCCCCCGTCATACTCCAGCTCTGCCTCTAACATAGAGGGCGGAGTTGTCGGGTTCAGGAGTTCCTCAAAGTGTTCCTTCCAACGCCCTGTTTGAAACCATTATTTGCAATATTTTCCATTATCCAACAGTGACAGGGACCTTGACTCTTTCACTGAGCTGCTCAAAAATCAATTCCTAACAGTGAAATGCTCAACTATTGACAGCGAAGTGAGAGATGACAATGGCATTGTGAAATCAATCAGCACACAGTTTTTTTAGAGCAGCTTCCGGCTATTTTAATTGGATCCATTGTAGCAATAAATCCATAAACGGTATTAAAAGTGTTAATGCTGTGTGATAATGTTGGATGATACAGCTTTGGTTCTGAGATGGAAAGAGAAAGCTTGGGTAGACAGCTGTGCAAACTTGTGCGAGGTGCTCATTTATCACTTATAAAAAGGAACATATGATTTGCCAGTTTAACAAAAGGCGGCCATGATGGCATTTACTGCAGCTGAGGCATTGTTCACCACCTGGCCATGTGCAACCAAATGTGTCCTCAAACTGAAATACAGGTGCAAAACTGTCATTGAAAGAAGAAATGATAAAGGCTCTGTGAAAACTGTGTAGCATTCAGTTAGAATATTTGCACACAGGCTTTAAAGCATTGTATGTTCGAACAAACAGTAATAAGAAGCCGCAGAACAACAAAATGCTAAATTGTAGGATGCTTTGCTTTTCACTTAGAGCAAGGAACATACAGTGAATTTTCAAATAAAGTATTCGATAATGGCTGACTTTCAATCAATTGGTAAAAAGCCTTACATTTCAGATAACATCCATTTCTGCAGCACTTACTTTATTAGTGTATCAGCAGTCCTGTCTGTCGTATTAAACACTGAGCTGATCTGAGTTTTAGTCTGCCAACTTTGCATTACTGTCAAAGAAACACCTCCTGCCAGTGTTTTACAATCAAAGCCATCATGTAGGCTTTGATTTTAAAACATCTGCAGAAGTTTGAGTCTCTGCGGGGATTTTAATGTGAAAAGATCTGTGCTGTAAGTTTGGAGTTGAATATAAAACAATCATTTTGTTTAAAATGTAGGATATATGCTATAAAGTTGTGAGTATGAATGGACTGTGTTGTTTCCATGAATGTAATTATGTGGAAACCAGAAACAAAGACTTACATTTCATTCAGTCTGTCTGTCTACACAAACATGTTGATAATCAGCTAAATTATTTAAATAATATATTTTTTTAACAGAAACTTGTATTTTGTCAGCTTTTTAAAATGTAAAATGAGCCTGCAGTAAAAGCCAAGTCTTTTTATTTGTTAGAATACTTTCAAGTCTTTTAAAAACACATGACTATGATTTGTATTGTGTAGTCAGGCTAGAATTGTTTTGCACCTGTTCGCCTTAAAAACCCTTAACAAGTCTATTTTTAAAGAATTTCAGTCTTTCGAGTTTAACACAAGTTATGTCGCCAATCTTGCAATAGAAGAATACAATTAACAAATCAATGACTGTAAAGTGAGAAACTGTTACTTACATAAAATAGATCATAACACTGTATTTGATTTTTGCCACATTACACATTACGCAGCTCTACTTGGAGTGTGATATTACTCTGATGGATTTAATGCTGTAGAATGTTATGCCAAATGTGTCAAAGGAACAGTTTGAATTCACAGCAGCACATTTTAAACTGGAGTAATCAGTTGAGAAAGGTTTGACTCTTATAAATATGTCTATTTGGTCCTGTGATTAAAGTATTTCAAGTCCCCAGTAGACTAATCCATCTAGAAAAATGATTTAATGTTTTAAAAAATGTTCTCTTCAGTGCTTGACTTCGGTGTCATCTCTTCTTTCCCGACAGCACGTACGACTGTCTCCTAGATGACCCCTTCAAACACGACTGGCCGCAACTCCCTGAACTTCCCGGCATCAACTACTCGATGGATGAGCAGTGTCGATTTGACTTTGGAGTGGGCTATAAGATCTGCACCTCGGTGAGTACTGCACTCAGGTTACCATTTGGAGGACTGAAGACTCAAAAACCTTGTCTGTAAGAGGGCCCAATTTACTCTCCAAAATAATAACAATTTTAGTTGAGAAAAGCAGGTCAGACCTGCTGAGGCTCTGCAGAAAGCCACACAGCCGATGATGATTAGAGTCTTCAAAGAAACTGATTTTCAAACATCAGCAGATTCCTCCAAGCATAATCAGATGCTAGATTAGGGAGCACTTCAAACAGACATCTGCTTAAAGTCACACCTGCTTAATATCTGCAGATGGTGAGGTACAGTGGCGGCTGGTGGAAAATATTTTTGGTGGGGCTTTTGATATAGTGAGTAAAACAATTTTTTTTGGGAGAAATGACCCCTTAAATTAGGACTTCTGGTGATGTAATGGCGCGTTTCCAGTGCAGCGCGGAGCTCGCTTTAATGCTGCGTTCAGACCGGACGCGATGCGAATATTCGCTTCGCTCTAAACGCTCCTATCGCATCGCTCTAGTCGCTAGAGTTTCACCGCGGCTGCCAGCTGCGTTTACTCGCATCATTCAAACAAGACGCGCTGGCTCGGGAGCTACAACTACAACAAAATGAACATATTTTACCGTGATTAAATTGTAATACACGTTTCTAAATGATGCCGACGTAACAACATACTGATACCGGTTAGTAAAAACCATGAATTAATGCTTTGACAAGTCTGCAGACAGACGGCAGGCGAAAAACCTTTTAGAATGCTTGTTTTCTGAATGGAGCTTGGCTAAGCTAACGTTATATATGTTCCGACCGTCCACACTCACAACAACGGCCTATACAGACATAAATAAACCAGCGACTGTATTCTCCATGACACAGACAGTCTGTGGTTTGTACTTGTTTAACTTTTGTCTAGTTTCTGAACAGATCGTATCTGTTTGAAGAGCAAGCATGGGAAACAAAATATAGCATTTACCTGTTTGCATCGTTTGCATCCAGCTAGCCTCGTTGATACGTTTTGTCTTTTTCACGAGCTTGCTGTGATATATATAAATCGGGTTGGTCCGGTCCAAGGTCTTTAAGTATCAATTTATCTCCCAAACTTCTCCTTTGGAAAGGATTGGAGAGTAGCTCTTGCACGGAATTGGGTGCGGACCGAGGTCCGGCGACTCCACCTGCACACCATTCTCATCCAAATACTGCGTCACCTTGGTCACTCACAAGTCTAAAAAACAACTCACGTCACGTAAGCAACGTGGGCGCCAACGTGAGCGCCCTCGTGACCAAAATATTTGACGGCGCTGATTGGCTGAAATTATGTTTCGGCGGCACAGTTTACTAATGAGACTTTTGCAACGTGCTGGTTGCTGCTGTTTGTCTCGGGGGGCTCCGCCCGGTAATGATAAACTAATGCCATGGGCAAGGCCAGGCAGGAAACATGTGACTTATCAGTAACTTTACTTTACATCGTAACACAATTTTAAACGAGATTTTATTGTAGATTATACATTGTACTGATACCAATTGTATGATATTTACCTTGTTCATTAAAAATAAAAATATAAAATATATATGTTTTTTAAATATATATTTTTTAATATATATTTTTTTAATTTAATATTTTTTTTAATATTTTTTTTTGAATGTGGGAAGAGGTGGGGCGGCGCCCCTAGCGCCCCTATGGGCTGGCCGCCACTGGTGAGGTAATTAATATTCTGTTACTTTATTCTGCAGTCAATGCGTCTTTTCTTCATCAAATCACCTTGATCTACAAAAGCTTGATATTAATATCACGTTTCTATCAAAGTCACAGGTACAAAAGCTAATTAGAACCTTGATCTGACATAGATTGAAAGACAACAAATGTATGTAAACCTGCAAAACACTGGATAATTCATATTTAATCATAAACCTTTTTAATTTTGCAGGAAGTTCTAAAGCTTTTCTTTTATCAAATATATTTGTTAAAAATGCAAATTAATGGTACAAGGATTGATTTTATTACGAGAGAGTACACTCTACAGTAAAAATCGCAGCATCGGATTGTAATGGATTCTATGATGGAGTAGATTTGATCAGGTTGTCTGTTTTTGGAGGTTGTGTGTATTGAGAGGAATGGGCGGAGAACTTGGGGGTTCTGACTAAGATCTTCACCTGATCTTCACCTGATAACTAAGCTCTTGATTTAAATCGAGGTCACTAGTTTCATAGAATGAATGTTCAGTTCAGATGGACTCTGATATCTGGCCATAAAAGAGATGATGCCTGCGTCATTTCATTTAAACACATAAAAGGATAAGGATATCCATGAAAAGTTGAATAACTTTCTGATGTAGCTTCAGTTATTACATTACATTACATTGCATTTAGCTGACGCTTTTATCCAAAGCGACTTACAATAAGTGCGTTCGACCAACAAAATACAAACTTGAAGAAAACAGAATCATATAAGTATATCAGGTTTCGTAGAAAATAATGGAAAATTAGAAATCTCCAATGAGGCGTTTTGGGGCAGCATAGACTGTGTTAGAGTTTTACTCGCTACAGGGTGTACTTTGAGGGTTTGTGATAAGATATCAGCAAAAGTGTGTTTCAGAGGTAAAATATTAACTAAAATTATATGATGTATTTTTTGGATACTGTCTTGAGTTCAAATGTCTAGGAATCCAAACTAGTATTATTAGAATCACTGTTTTGTAAGCTACAAATATAACTAGCTAAATATGGGTCAAGCTACAGGTAGCAACCAGGCAGGTTCACAGGGGGTGGAAGCAAGACTGGTGGTCCTGGGACGGTTGTAACGGGACGGTGGTAACGTGGCACATTTACAATGATGGCTCATTTGCTGGAATGATCAATTGTTCATTCAAGAATACAGTTGTATTGTTGATTGGTGTGCATTGTCCCTGTAAAAATAAACAGAATAAAATACTGTACATTAGGCCTAAAGTGTGTGTGTGTGTTTACAGTATGCCAAATGTCAGAAAGAGGAAGACAGACAGGGGAGTGCCACTTGCTCTGCTGCAGAGGGCCTCAAATGAAGTTGAGAAGGGCGAATCATTCAGGGATGTGGCAAAGTCCCTGGATATATGCCATGTCACCCTGTACCGGTTCCATAAGAGGAGGCTGAGGTTGGAGAGTCAGGGATCACAAACACCCCCAAGAGTAGGCTACTAGACACCAAAGAAGGTGTTCTCAACAGAGCAGGGGATGCTTTTGAGAGACTACCTGATGGAGGCAGCTGATTTATATTATGGTCTCAGCTCAAAGGAGGTAGGTCCGCATAATTAAGGTAGAAGCACCTCTCAGAGAACAGTTTAATCCTTCACAGAGGATGATGCTGTGTGTGTTATCTGTGATCCTGTTCATTGTTCATTGTTTGTTGGAGGATGTGTGAAACCCCATTCAAATCTTGTTGCCTTAGAATTTGACAGCTTTCCCTATTTGTTGTCATGCAGTGTGAAAAGGTAACCGTTATTAACATTTTACAACCGTGCCTGGCATGTGCTACAACTGTCCCTGTACACAAGGACAGTTGTAACAGTTGAGTTTTTAAAAAAAAATACATTTTCCAACCTGTACTTATTTCATAAAAACATCTTAAATACATTGTTTCAGTAGCTGACATATTGATAATGTATAATATAGCAAAATGGCTATCCTATTGTAAATGGTTTTTTACTTATTGGGGAAAAACCCAAAAAGTGTTGCAACTGTCCCTGGTCTCCCCTACTTCCTCTAAGAAGAAAGGACAGTAACAGAAGTTCTCTGTGACACCAGATGTGGTGTTATTAATGCGATATGATATCCGAAAAAAAAATTCAGTTTAGGATGGCCGAAGACATTACACTACCCATAATCCCCAGCTATCGTTTGGGACTACAGTCCCGTTGACAAACCCTGTGATTAATCTTCGAGATTAATTGGATGTTGGAGTGGCAGTGCGCCAAGGTTACGCCGAGCGTCAAGCTCTTTCAAATGGAAAACTAGAGCTCTCGTCCACAGAAGAGAATGTGCGCCAGGGAACCTTCGTCCCTGAACAGTAAACTACCTCATGGCGGCTTGTGCTCCGTCATAGACTGAAAAAAAAAACTGAAATCTGTATTGTTTCATCGTTTTTTCCTTCTAATTTTGTATTATTTTCTAAACCACACACTGTTATTTACTCAACAATAACACACAATTATCCTTGTGTTTATTCCTTTGTTTGATAAATAAACACAAGTTGGAGTCCGTCAGGACCGAGGGTCGGAGCAGCTCATAGTAGTTGCTTTAGAGAATTTTACACCCGGAAGTAAGTATTCTCTTACTTGACAAACCCTGTGATTAGTCCTCAAGCTCTGAAATTGGATGTTTGAGTGGCAGTGCGCCGAGGGTTACGCCCATGGATACTCCGAGCGTCAAACAGCACTTTCAAATGGGATGAAACCACGGCAGACTATCCAAAACTGGATTTGAATGGGTCCGTACATACTTTCCCCCTATGAAAGTATGTACTCTTAATATTTGTGTCAATAAGTAAAGCACGTTATTGATGGATGTATTTTGTTATCCACACATATATTGTTTTTATATTTGCAACACCAAACCGACAGAAAATATGGTCTTAACATGACCCAGTGGTCTAGTTAATAAAAAAATATATTATAAAACATAATATTAAAATGAACTCTTATTTTGAAAATACAGCTTTCTGTGTTTGAATGAGCTGCTCCGACCCTCGGTCCTGACGGACTCCAACTTGTGTTTATTTATCAAACAAAGGAATAAACACAAGGATAATTGTGTGTTATTGTTGAGTAAATAACAGTGTGTGGTTTAGAAAATAATACAAAATTAGAAGGAAAAAACGATGAAACAATACAGATTTCAGTTTTCTGAGCCCCTACTCTCCCCATAACTGACGGCAACAAAAGTCCTACATTATTCAATTAAAATAAGGAAGTAAAAACAATAAGTGTGGCTTGATATTGAGTAAGAAAAAGGTTGATAAAAGCTGTGAGAATGGATCTGCGGAGAGCATTTCGCCGCGATCCCAACTCGTCTATTACCGACGTTCAGGGAGCTCTATGCAAGTCAACGGGACTCCCTGATAGTTGAAACTCGACGCTAAAGGGTCCCCCCTTGCGTTGGAAAGTGACGTCAAGGACCCCTACATAACGTCAACATAGGCCGAGTTGGGAGTGAGAATGTGTTGAGAATGGAGGCACAAGGTTATGATAGTTTGAACGCAAAAAGTGCCAGCATGCCACTACTGGTGAAGAAGCTTAGAAAATTAGTGTGGGTTTACTGTTACTATGGCCGTGACTTGCCATTAAGAACGAAGTACAATTCACCCAATGAGCGCAAATAAATGGTGTTCATTATACACAATGTATTGGACTGAGATAGTTATCTAATATCTTATTATAAGCTTTCAAATGAAACATGTTTGCAGTGTTAATGTGAGATTTGCCGCAGCGATTGAAGGTTGAACAGGAAAGTGACAATTGGGGAAATATAATGACACACATAAAGGAAAATATGCACATCAATACCATAAGGGAGGAGAACCTTTAATTGCTTTACCTTTTGTCAGAAGGATGCTGAGGGCAGCTAAAAAGCAAATTTTTGAGTTCTCTCAATGAGTCCTATCCGTTCTATTCTTCCTTTAAAAAAATACAACCTTGAAGGGACGAAAAACATCCCAACTCCTCTCAGCTGAGTGCCTGATAGTGGAGCTTGTAACTGTTGGGTGGCAGCTGTCCGTCAGATAGTGTGACTGCGATACTTAACACCTCATATACAAGGATAGAGGGTGTCGTTTTTTTTTCTCATACTGATATTCTGAACAATCTGTGCTGTTGTATTTGCTGTAAAGTGTCTCCACTGTAGGCTATTTTTATTATATGTACAGCACTTTGGCTCGACCAAAAATCGTTTATAAATGTGCTATATTAAATAAAACTTGATTTGATTTATATTTTATACTTTATGTCATCCTCGGTTTATGTTTTTATACTGTATGTATACAAATCATCATCCGCCATACAGTATTAACACAAAACATTTCCAATCAGATTCATGGCTGTTATACCTAAATGTTCAGCTCATTGACCTCACACACAATGTTCCTCTTCTCTACGTTTCAGTTCCGTACATTTGACCCATGTAAACAGCTGTGGTGCAGTCATCCAGACAACCCGTACTTCTGCAAAACCAAGAAGGGTCCGCCTCTCGATGGGACGGAGTGTGCTCCTGGAAAAGTAAGTATGTCTATTATATGCAGTAGTACTACATGGCCACTGGTTTGGAGAACCGAGAAAAAGGTGTCTGGACGTAGAGAAAAGACTAGAATGGCAATCAGAGAATGCGCGCCCAATGTCAATGGTGAATTCAAATACTTTTTGAACAGTCCCATCCCAAGGTGAAATGTTGTTTTCCTATCTCCTTTGTATTCATGAGCTTTATGTCATAATGTGGAAACAAGGACACTGCTGATAAGATGTGTTAGATGTGATTGCTCAGAGAATTTAAATAAAGCACATATTGTGCACTGCATTTGACTTTTAACCAATTTACTGATATTTTGCAGAATTTAGTTCCTGTTGGAGTTTGAAAATCGTTAAAATATATATTTTTTGAAATAATCCAGTGTTTTAGATATACATTTTTACATTTTGTGTTTAAAATTATACAAAATAACTCTGAAGAAGTTTTTTTAAATTGTATTATATATTCCCCATAGTCTTAAACAAATAACTCAATACCAAAATCACAAAAATAGATCCAGTGGTTATAAATTCTGTGTTAAAATACTGTTTCCTCGGCTGGAAATGGCGGCCATTTTGGAAACGTGTTTTTAAAATAAATGACCCCAAAGGGATGAATTTTGGTGCTTGTTTCCACTTTTCCACAAGATTGTTATAGCTATCTGCAGGACTATTATAATAATAATAATAATAATAATACATTATACTTGTATAGCGCTTTTCTAGAAACTCAAAGACACTTTGACAGAGAATACAAATCATTTAAAAAAAACTACAGAGAAAAATACAAAAACAGATAAAAAAAACAGAAAATAGTGGGGGGGTGGTCAGTGGTTGAATGCAGTGTTGAACAGGTAGGTTTTGAGTGATGTTTTGAATGTGGTGAGGGAGGAAGAATCTTTGATGGATTAGATAATGATTACACAATAGCCGCGATCATACAGCAGTTTTTCCAAAAGTGAGTAATAAACAATGCATGTCAGTTGCAAAACCACAGCATCAGCCTAACAATGACATATGATTGTTGAAAACAATGGGCTACCACTCTTTTGGGAACCTTTTTCACAGATGATGTAACATTGCTGCAGGGTTTCTCTTTCAGTTCACTCAAATTCACACAATTAGCAAGAGGATGCTAACATTCAGCCACAACTGTATTCACAAAACTCACATTACCCAAGACAAAATGTAAAAAAAAAGGTTTTGTTTTTTTAATTGGGATACATGCTCACGATGCTCAATGAACACATCAGATATTACTTCCACTTCAGCTGGCTCTGCAAACTAACACATTACTTTTGGAAACAAGCCCCTGACAGGATATCCCTGATAACGAGCCGCAGCGTCCCCCTTTCTGACCGTCTGTGTCAGTGACTGCTCTTCCCGTCATCAAGACACCCATCCCAATCCACAGACAACACTAAAAAACAAGAAACACAATACCCATCGCATAATGGTAGACCTTTTTGTAATGCAAATAATTTCACATCAGCACTAAGCAACACACTGGCAGCTTTCATGACCCCATTAAATCAGCTTGTGAACGAATCCCAGCTTAAAACAGACGTATGTCTTTGTGCCAAAAACACTCCAACCCTACACTAGCAGCTATCATCATGTAACACTTATTCCATAATACACAATCCCTATCCTTTTAACATAATGCAATTACTATCCTGTGATTCAGCACTTTATACTTGTTAATGTAGCAAGTATCTACTATTTATTCTCATTATTATTATCTTAATACATTTTGGGGACTTTTTCGTGATTGGTCCTTTTTTAATTTAGTTTTAATTTTCCCCTTTCAATACATTTCACCATTTTTACTTTTATGGTTATTTATTTTAGTATTATGTAATTGTTCTGACATTATCATGAATGATTAAATGGATATACAGTCATGCCTAAAGGTAACAGCACTCACAACTTGACACCATATCCCATAACACACCAATCCCCTATCAATTACACAAATGTTGCATATTGTTGTTTGCTTTAGCATTATACTTGTTGATGTAGCAAGTACCTAGTATTTGTTATTATTCGTAATACTACTATTTGTGTTATTGGTCATGTCTTTTTTTCACAAAATGTTATATTTATTTATTTATTTAACTAACCATCATTAATTAAATGGTTACTGTATGTTGCTCTATTGCTCTGTAATGATTGTTGCCTTTATTATTTGTATTGATTTATTTGATAAACACTCATACCTTAACCATCAGCACCCACCTCATTACCTATTATATATTCCCATGACGCATCAATCCTCTAGCAATTACAAAGATGTCACAAAATACATTATTTTGCATCAATTCTGCTCTAAATAGATGTTATTTGAGTCTTTTATGTTTCCCTGTCTCCTGTCATCCTCTGTAGTGGTGCTACAAAGGTCACTGCATGTGGAAGAATCCTAATCAGATCAAGCAAGATGGCGCCTGGGGCTCCTGGAGCAAGTATGGCTCCTGCTCCCGCTCTTGTGGTACTGGAGTTCGCTTCCGGACGCGTCAGTGCACCAGCCCAGCGTGAGTGACAGGCATTATTACAAAATGTTGACCTAAAGGAGGAGGTTGATCCTAGCTGGCAGGTATTGTTGGATAATTTAAGTGGGTAGATGTCCTTTTTTGTAACCTTAAATGTACCCTGCCTACTGAGCTACAGGGAGTATGGGTATTATTCAGGCTATCCTAACCAGAAAAAGGACAGCATTGATTCGTCAAACACCTCAAACTACGCATATTCTCTCTAGTTGATTTTTATGTCAAATGCAAAATGTCAAAGGAAGAGAAATCGGGCCCAATGTTGGTTTTAAAGTCCACATCACATCTAGTAATACTAGTCCCCTGTGTTTTATTCTCACCATGACAGTTTATTTAACTTGACTCGTGGCTACGATAACCAAGGAGTTTTAGTCTCCTTATATCAAAGGAATCTTTTGACATTTTTGAAAATAGAATTATTGACTTTCTTGCAGAGTGAATAACACTTCTGTTACAACTACGTACAGTATGGGCATATAATAAATCACACCTTCATGAAGGAGACCTAAAGCTAGACACTAACTCAACGAGAAATTGCTCATGTTCACTGATCAACCCTTAAGTCTTTAAAGTATAATGTGCACACTATTCTGTTGTAATTGCTTAACAGCTTTAGAAAGGCAAACGTTTATTGTCAGATGTAATTGTTCTTTGTAGGCTTGGTAGTCAATCATTATTAATGACATATACAAATAACACTGGGGTTAAAATAAACAATGTAAGCAACTTCTAGAAAAAGGCAGCAGGTGAAATTGAGCTTGTAATCAAAAAGGCGGGAAAAGACAGGCATGAAGTAAAAACACACACGGGGTGCAAAACCCCATTGAAAACTAAATAGGAAACTCTGACAGAGCATTACAGGTGCAATGTTAAACGTAACGCCAATCTTTTATGCATGTTTTCTCATCACACATTAACCATAAAATGATTTCTATATTGTGTGGGAAACAGTCATTTGACAGGTTGTGTCTATGTGTAATACATTTGAAATATGTGTATAACAGTGGCGAACCGTGTCTATCACAACTGGACCTTCTGTAGACACACACACCCTCCGCCACCGCCGCCAACAGATACGATTTTCATTTATAAATTGTATATACATTTTATTTATATAATTAAATCGATTTTTTGTTTGTTTTATCTGAGTGTTCCAGGGTATTCTGTGAATACCTTGAAGGCCCTGACGGTTCGCCACTGGTGTATAATAAGGTTGTGATACAGGTGTAAAAAAAGGTGTAACATGGGTGAAATACAGGTGGGATAATGGTTTAATAGGGTGTAATATTGGTGTATCAATGTTTAATATGGGTGACTGTTACGTCCCGACTAGGGGAAGAGGAAAGCAACATACGCCAGATTGGAATTGGTAATAATTATAAATGGTTTTATTATAATATGGTGAAACAAAATGGCAGGCAAGCAGCGAGTTTGGCAGATCATACAGAGTAATAATTAAATAAAAGGGAAAACAAAAACCTCACGTTAAACGTGGTACATGTAACTGAAACGGCTGTGCAAAAACCACAGCTGATCGACAGGTGCTAACCGTTAAGCTACCCTGGGTCTTCTTGACACACACATACTACACTAAACACAGAACACTACTTAAACACGCTGCTAAGCAGTATAACTGAACACAGAGGATTCACAGTATTATCGAGCACAACGAGTAAACACAACAAGAGGCTAGAGGCGTCTGTCTCACACCACAGAGCCTCCAGAGTGGTAGTTGTCCTCAGGCTTTGTAGTCATCTGCAGCAGGTGTGCGCCGGCTGTGCGCTGCGATTGGAGCGCGTCGGCCCCGGCATGCTTCAATCACAATCCCCAGGAGGCGGACCAGAAAATGGGCAGCCAATGACATCAGGGCTACCGCACAGCTCATTTACATGTCACACGCACCGCTGAAAACACTCACAGACCGATGACTAAGCAGATAGAAAACAGAGTCCGTAACAGTGACGTAACATCGTAATATGAGTGTAATGTAGAACAAAGTAATCAATACATTGTTCATAATATCTATATGTGATTGTCCATTTTAGGGTTAAGCAGGATTTGTTTTCACATTGTGGTCTCAAAGTACTGCTTACTATTCCCCCCCCCCCCCCCCCCGCAGGCCCTCCAATGGCGGCCAGGACTGCCCAGGAGTGAACTTCGAGTATCAGCTCTGCAACTCTGATGACTGCCCAAAGCACTTCGAGGATTTCAGAGCTCAAGCAGTGGCCAGCTCCGCAACTCCCACTTTGAATTCCAAAATGCCAAACACCATTGGCTGCCCTACGAACATCCTGACAGTAAGCCAGAAACATTTCAAAAGATAATTTTGTTTTAAGGGCAGTGTGTGTGCTAGTTACTGAAAACCAGTAACTAGTTACCATTACTAGTTACTTCATTTCAAAAGTAACTCAGTTACTTTACTGATTACTTACACAAAAAAGTAATGCGTTACTGTGAAAAGTAACTTTTTAGTTACTTGAAAAAAGGGCTCCCATTAATGCCCTTATAGCCTTCCTTTCAGTACTGTTTTGCATTGGAGAATAATACAATCTGTTGATCAACTTGACATGCATTATATGCAATCTGGATTGCATCGATATTAGCTGGCTTTCCATTTTTGTATATTCTTTCTCCAGGTAGTTGGAAAAAGTTTTCCGTCCCATATGCCGTGTGCCGCCCGGACATGCTATCATGCTAACTAGCTCCCTGAAAGCGGGTGACTCCACTGTAGCAATAGCCTGCATGTGTTCTACAACATACCGTGCAATGGCTTTATCGACTTTTCTCTGGCTAGCAGTCCCTTGGTTAAAATCCAGCCGCTGTTGCTTAGGTGGAGGTGGAGTGGCGTCGGCTGAGTCTCTGTGGTCTTAGTTACTAGCTTCGTCCCAGCATGTTGTTTTTGCAGATGTTTTAAGAGATTTGAATTACTGGTTTGGGCAGTAGTAGATAGGATCTTTGACCCGCCAGGACCACAACTTACATTTAACTAAAACGTTCTTTTCTTTGTGCTCGACAAAAGTGAAATAGTGAGAATATCTCCAGGTGGAGAAACTAGACTTGAGCTCCGCCGCCGCCATGATAGTCTTGTTAGTAAACAACACAAACACGCCCACAGCGCGTCTCCGCATGTGACACAGGAAGTATAAGTACATTTACTCAAGTACTTAAGTACAGTTCTCATCTCTGTTCGCCTGGCTGTTGACTATATAAAAAAATGAATGCAGTAACGGAGTAACGCACCATGTAGTAACGGTAACTGAGTTACTGAATTAAAAAAGTAATGCGTTAGAGTACTAGTTACTGCCAACAATAACGGCGTTACAGTAACGCGTTACTTTGTGACGCGTTAGTCCCAACACTGTTAACGGGAGACTTCTCAAGGTTTTTCTGGGCCAAGAAAGAACAAAGAAAGTCTACAAGGGAAGGGAATCTGCATTCTGACAGCAAGAACTGAAATAAATATATTGTACATTCGAAACATTTCCCAGCCGTTTAAGGGACATTATCAAACAGACCAGACCCTTTTCTGAACTTTTTTTTTGTATTTTCTTTCTTCCATTGTTTTATATGTGTTCATCTTCCTATAACTATGCCAGCATGCAGCGTTTAAAGCCATCCACGCTCAAAATTGCCCTTTTTTGTAAAGATGATGGGAGTTTATAGTGCAGATATAAAACGTTCATCTTTTTAAAATGTCTTTATCAGAATTAGCTTTTTCTGGCTTCGCTCCATGGAGCAGTTTCCAACCTCCTGTATTTAAATTGTTTTGTGTTCCCCCAGTCAGTCATGTGGAAAAGAAGTAAGAAAACCCTATGAAGGCTGATAATGTAAAGTGGGAGCCCGTTGTTCTATGGAAGCTAACGAGCTATCCTGCAGAGTCGAGAGTATTTTTACACTTAGTTAGAAAAAGGTATTACGTTCAATAGAAAATCAAAGGCCTTTTGTACAAGATTATATGAATTAGTTTAGAGTGAGGTTATTCTGGCCTTTGCCCTAAGGGTAATTTACTTTACTTTAATAACAAACCATAAATGAATCGGGGATAGTTTTGTAACCATACAGCCAACAGTATATGCATTTATTTTGTTTACTTTGAAAGGTAAAAAGGCTAGGAATAGGAAACTATTTATATTTCCAATCCAGAGAAAATGGAGACATAATGAAGGAAAAAGGGCTTTTATTTTCTTGTATGTCTAATATTGTTCAATATCACCATTATAGCAAAAATCCAATGGATAAGGATAATACTTGGTGTCTTCTGCTCCTGCTCTCCACTACAACACGGAATCTAAATTCAATAAAAGTACATAAACACCTGATACAATTTGGAAAAGGGGCCCTATAATGCTGTTGGCGTTTTATTTTTCCTGTAGTGTCTTGTATAGGTTTGTGTGCAAACACCACCCCAGTGCTTTTAAAAAGACTCAAAGACAGAATATCCTTACAGATACATATTCAAATTCATAGATACATTGTAAATCTAAGACCTAAGTCATGAGATACACGAAATGAATTGCACATTAAAAGCAGCTCTGACGAGGTGAGTTTTGATTAAAGGTGGGGTAGGTAGTTTTGGAGAAACCAGCTCGAGTGAAAAATCTGCCACTTCCTTACAGAGCCCCTCCTCCAACACACACGAACGCACACATGACCAATGAGGGCACGAGATACGTTTGTGCACAGATGGAAGGCTGACAGGCAGGTAGGCCATCCAGTTACTTTAGCCGGGCCAGCTCAGATGATTGGTCGTGCTTTTTACAGTACTACGGCTTCCACAGATGAAATTTATTTATGGGTTTTTTTGTCAAAGCACTTCAGATATTCATTGCTATCGGGATGTTAAGAGCATTCCATGGAATATAACAACAAGTGTATCTCGAGCCGGTTTCTCAACGTACCTACCCCACCTTTAATGTTTTAAAATGAGGACAAATGGTGGAGTTTCTGCAGATCAGTGGTCATGGGAGCGGGTGTGAGTTCTGAATATACTTCAGTTTAATTAGGTTAGTTTTGTTGGTCTATATTTTTAAGGTGGTTTTGGTGATGTGGTTGATATGGTTTTCAAAAGTCGGGTTGCTGTTGAAAATGACTCCAGGGTTGCGGATGTGTATGGAGGGAGAAAGAGTGGAGTCCTCATTGGTGAAGCAGAAGTTATTATTGGTTCTGTTGAGGGATTGGGGACCAATGATGAGCATGCCAAATGTCTTACAGTTGAGTTTGAGGTAGTAGCATTGCATCCAGGATTTTGTTTCAATCGGGCAGTTGGTCAGGGTAGAGAGTTTCAATGGTGATGGATTTACAAAACTCCTATTGTGTTCAAAGGTTGAAAGGGCTTTATTGTCATATCCACAGCTACAGTGTAGATATGCAATGAAAACACTTAAGTCAGAGGCTCCTCCATCAATGCAACACAAACATATATACGACATAAAACTAAATCAAAGTAGAAATAAAATATTGCAACAGAATGTTTCAAGACTTAGAGTAAACTATATGCAAGTAAAATAGATTAAGATAGAAAAAGAAGAGGAAATGCTGTACAGTGAAATTAAATATTGCTTATTGTAATAATGGATAAATATATGAGATGCAAACAGATGAATGGTGTGAAGTTGTGAAGGCACGGAGCTCAGGAGTTGATTTATTTATCTTTTTGTAAAACTCCCATTGTGTTTTAGAAGTTCAGCAACTGAGAGAAAGTGCCTGTGATTAATCATCACAACTTTTGAAGATGTGTTTTTACTCTAGCCAAGTTAGAGCGCATATCCCGCTGTGTAAAGGTTACATACTGTAGAGGAAGTTTTGCATATAATATACCACTTCTAATTGGCCATTATTGATTTGAGAGGATGCCTGTCGATGCCTGTCAGAATTGACATGTTGGTGGGTGTAAATTGCAAGATAGTTGTAATCTCCGCAGCAAAAGCAGTGGGACATTGTGTCAGTTCTTCGGCAAGATAATAAAGAATGCAGCCACTTGAAAAACAAGCTATTAACTGGTACTATCCAACATAAAGAGATGTATATTTAATGAGCTTCATGTTTCCCTTTTACCCTTTGAAAGTCTGGATCTAATTGTGCATATTTTATGTTTTATAAGTGTTATTATGTAAATACAACACATTCATCTTTGAAAGTCTTTCAAAATATCAATCTTTCTCTAAGTTGGATTTTGCTTTCCACAACATGTTTATAATGTGTTTTCCTGTAGCTAACAAGAGATGCCACCTGTACTGCCAGTCAAAGGAGATATCAGACGTGGCCTACATGAAGCTGCTGGTGCATGATGGGACACGATGCTCTTACAAAGACGCCTACAGCATCTGCGTACGGGGAGAATGTGTGGTAAGCATGTGGTTAAACTACATGATGTTGACGTTGTAAAAGTTGTATTTTAAATCTATACAAATGTAGACAAAGTGTGATGTTGGAAAACCGATCAGTAACAGGTTTATCTTTGCACATGCTGCGTAGAACCAGGAGTCTAAAATCTGACATTTCCCTCCTCACTGAAATTAATCAAAGCAGAATGTCAATGTTCACCTAAGTACATACGAAGATACAAGTCTTGGTCACAGAAATGCGTATGTCACAGCAACAAGAATTTGGCAACTAATAGTCATAAAACCACAAATGCTTACAAATTATTTGCTTGGTAAAACTGTGTTTAATAACACATTTGGAGAAAATTAGATGCACTTTGTAGGAACATTTAGAGGGGCCCTATTGTGCTTTTGGGGATTTTCACTGAAGCTTGTAAACGAGTCACAGTAGAGGCACAAAAAAACAATATGAACCTGAAAAACAAGCATAATAGGGCCCTGCCTTGCCCCTGTGTCTGCCTTGCATCGCATGGAGAAAGAGTTGTGAGTAAGTATGCAAATATATTACATTTAGTTAAAGTAACAATACAACTGTGTAGACGTACAGTACAGGTGATGCAATACAATTTTAATAAGAAAAGTACGAAATGATATGCCAAGAGTGTAAAAAGGAAAGGTCCTCACTGCATAATGACACTTTTTAAATGATTTTTGTTATTTTATAATTGTAAAATGATATGGGGGCGGTGGTGGCGAAGTCGATAGGGACTTGGCTTGGCAACTGGAAGGTCACCAGTTCAAGTCCCGGCAAGACCAAGTGCTACCGAGGTGTCCCTAAGCAAGGCACGCCGTTCAAAATGGCAGCACACTGCTCCTAACACTAGGATGGGTCAAATGCAGAGAAACAATTTCCCCACGAGAGATTAATAAAAGTCCATCTTGTCTTGAATTTAAAAAAATAAATAATAATAATTGATGCAATTTGTGTTTCTATCACTTTAAAATTGCAGATGGTAAAGGTCCATCTGCTGTTGCCTCAATTACTTTATTGCTGGTTAGCTTAATCTTTATTAATGCATCAGAATTTATTTAATTATTTTATTTGTATTAATAATCAGACCATGCAAAGTTTATAAAGCTATCAGATACATGTGTCGAGGTAAAAGCAAATCTTCCGCAGTAATGTATTTAATTATAAGTACAGTATGAAGTAGCATAATATAAAAATACATAAGTAGAGTTCTTTAAAATGGTTATTAAGTATAGTACTTGAGTAAATGTTCAAAGTTACTTTCCACCAAAAACAGTATGCTTTGGAATGCTCTGCTGGATCTGTATAACATACGTATTCAAAACACAATCAGATTTACACAACTCCGTCTCCATTTAGCACTGATAATCTCATTATGAAGCCTTGTTGTAAAACCACTTTGTATGTTTAACAAGTCCAAAAAGAATCTCAACTAATCTGTCTGGTTATGTTCGTGGTCTGCAGAATGTCGGCTGCGACAGAGAGATTGGCTCCACCAAAGTTGAAGACAGATGTGGTGTTTGTGGTGGGGACAACTCCCACTGCCGCACCGTGAAAGGATCCTTCACCCGAACACCAAAGAAACCTGGTAAGAAAACATGAAACCAGTCCACATGTTTGTGAGTGGAGTGCAGCTTTGTCCATGCTGCACTTTAGTAATCTTTTTTCAGTGGCACTCTTGTTTTACTCCTTTTAACATGTGAAACCTAATCCCACAAACAGAGTATGATTTCTGAAAAAGTTTCAAAATGTTTTTTTCAACATGTGGAATAAGATCTGTGGTTAACACAAGTTTAGGAGATTTCCACTTTTTGTTCTACGACATAAAATCCTTAAAGGTGGGGTAGGTAATTTTGGAGAAACCAGCTCGAGATCGCTAGAATTTGAAAATACACAGCCGGAAAACATGTGCCACTTCCTCACAGAGCCCCTCCTCCAACACACATGAACGCGCACATGACGAATGAGGGCACGAGATAAGTTTGTGCACAGATGGAAGGCTGACAGGCAGGTAGGCCATCCAGTTACTTTAGCCGGGCCGGCTCAGGTGATTGGTCGTGCTTTTTACAGTGCTACGGCTTCCACAGATGACATTTTGTTATGGATGTTTTGTCAAAGCACTTAAGATATTCATTGCTATCGGGATGTTAAGAGCATTCCATGGAATATAACAAAAGTGTATCTCGAGCCGGTTTCTCAAACGTACCTACCCCACCTTTAAGTAAATACCACACTGGTGAGTGTTCAAATCTTCCATGTCTTTTAAAAATGGCGTATGCAAAATTAAGTACTAAAGTACTAAATACTAAACGTCATCACACCGAACATTAGCCGGCTTTAGCTTAGCGGTAGTGATGCACAGCCATGGAATCGTGATGTCGTTTGTGTCAAGCCAAACATGAGCTTTTTACTACTGCCGATTGCATTTACGCTATACACCATAAAGGTGTTGAACTGCGCGGACTATCCTGCTGAACAAAATGTGTAAGTATCATAAACGTGTGTTTGCCATAGATCTTGCTTTCTGCAATACTCCGAAAACAAAAGGAAAAAGACCATTCCTTTTTGTCAAATGAGCCCTTGTGGCGCTAACTTCCGGGTCGGCCTACAAAAATATGTAATCACTGCACGACACTATGGCGTCCACATTCTACAGATCTCTGTCATTTATCTTTGTTAATGTGCAGAATATTACATTCAAAGCTAATAAATAAATCTACAGGGAGCGGGAAAAGCCACAGTATCTGTCAGCTGTCACATTTGTTTTTGTTTTGGATTAAGAACCTTATTAAGTAGCAGAAAAATAATTATGCCCCTTTTTATTCATTTCACATATTAGTTTCTCTTTTTATTATTGAGTTTGTTAATTCAGACAGTGTGCTTTCTCTTCGTACAAATTCAATTGAGGCTGCTTCCTTTAGGTTATCTCCCCTCTGCAGACACACAGGGCGCACACACACACATGGGTGTTTTGTCTGTAACAAAACGTACTTTGCGTTGTGAAGCTGAATGAGTGTGAGTAAGTGATTCATTTTCTTTGTGAACAATGTGTTTTCACATTAACCTCCAGCATGAGAAAATAACAAACGACCCGTGCATTTAATTAAACGTTTTCATGATGCCAGCCTCATCTGTCATCACTATATTACCATTACACCATTATCCATGTGACGTGATGTCATAAAGTCAATCAAATGAAAATTGACGTTGTGAGGGATTTGACGTGAAGGCTTCATTAAACCGTTTCAGAATTGTTGAAACTGTTATCAATCCATTTCATAATTTGTTTCTTAACATCACTCTCTCTTTTAACCCCTCACCTTTTTTAACAGGGAAACACTTAAGCAAGAGAGCCCAAAAAGAAAGCCCTTTGTTGGAAAACACAATATGCAAGTATCCAGTGTTACTGAATACTCCATTACTGCTGTCCTATAGCATTTACTGTGCAGCTTGTAGAGCAGATGGATGCCTAACACTGTAGTGACTTAGAGACAAGAGTGATGTCATCTGCTGTTTCTTCTGTTCCTTGTTACTAATCAAGCGTCTGTTTAGGTTTGACTGTGGGAACTGTGACAGGTTCACTATCCAGAGATGTTGTTTTTGTATGTATTATCATTTAATGTATATTGCTTCAACAGCCTAACAAACTAACTTTAGAGGTCTTTGTGCAGACAAAAAAGTCATCAAACAAACTGACAGACTCGGAGGTAATCTGGGATGTTGTTCGCTATTTAAAAGTTGATTGATTGAGCCTCAACTGGCATGCTGATGCTCCATTCAACCCCACACATCCAAAGTGGTCTTTTTTAGACAGCTTTCTTGTGTGCAGTTTTTCCAATCAGTCCACAAAAAGTCATGTAATCAAACTGTGATTTCTATTGAGCGGCTTGAGGTTTCTGAAATTGGCTGCTATTATAAAATGTTCTCCAGCGAAGAGGGCATCTTTTGGCATTTTCCGAAAGGTACATTGCAATTTATCTTCTCAAACACACAGCAGAGTGAGCAGCTTCCCCTGGTCTGCCACCTGTTGTGACCCTGTGTGAACACTGTGACATTGTGCCAGCGCATTCATAATCATCATCGTCTGCGTCAGGAGGTGTCCAGTGTCAAATCCAAGGGCGAGTAATCACAGCACAGCAATTCAGTCCTGGTGATTGTCAAGTGTAAAAAAATAGATTGCCTCCTCACCCGATATGAATTGCTCTGCTCCCTGCTATGCTAATTAAATGTGCCTCCACTGTAGGCGATGTTGCAGAGAAATGATAAAATTGGATACGGGAGGAAACACTGCGAGACTCACTAACTGATTCATTTCATTTTGAAGGGAAGACCAGAGGAGCCTTCTCTTTGCCCAAAGGAGCCCGAAATGTGTATTTAAATGAGACGGAAGACTCTAGAAATGTACTCGGTGAGTCATGGTAGGTTTGCAGGCGGTGGACATCCCTGACAGAAGGCCACTTTGCTGCCCTGTAGTCCGAAAATACCCTGTTCTTCACGCTTTATTGAAACATGGCTTGAGGCATTCCCATCCTGTCTGCGTATATTCAAAATAAAGGAATGGAGAGTTTATTTAAGGGATATCTTGAGTTATACGTAATAGTAACACAATAATATGTTGACATTTCTAAGAGTCCTTTGATGACGCAAAAGATAGATGTGAATGAACAGCCTGTTTCAATAAAAAAAAATACCTGTAGGCTTCTATTGAAGAAGACATTTTACCATTTTCTTCTCTGTCGAGCAACACTTCTGAAACATGCGTGATGTCCACCACTGCAAACAAATATGTCTCTGTATCTGCTTAACTTACCTGTGTGTGTCTTTTCTTTCCTAACCCTCCCTCATCTGCTTCTGCTGCCGCTACAAACTTGGCAAAGGTTACCTTAAGATGTTTCTCATTCCTCCTGGAGCTAGACATGTGATGATCCAAGAACATGAGGCCTCCCCTCAAATTCTTGGTAAGTGTGCCTTCCTAACACCAACACATGTACTGTATGAAATCAGAGAGGACATTTCAACATCCTCTTCTTGTTTTCCAGGAAGACTAATGGGAACACATAATGTAGAATAATAGATGTGAGGCTTTGCATAATATATTCCATGTCACCTCTCAGGCAGAGATAATTAGTCTTCGTATTGCTCATTCATAATTTATTATCTATTGAAGAGAGATTAATAGATAAGTGGGTTCTTTCACTGCCAGAATAATGACACTGCAGTTTTTTTTACTACTACTATTTTCTCTACTATGTTAAGGTGAATTCACATTATATATTTATATATATATATATTCATATTAAAGCTGCAGGATTGTGCCTGGGATCTTTTTAACAGACTCAGAGGAGAGGAACTGTTATATATGTGTTTTGTAGAAACGGCTATGTTAAATGCATTATTTTGACCTCTGTTTATGTTGAAGTTATAAACCCTGCAGTGTCTAAAGGAGTTATACTGTAACTGAACTTTGAGAGCGGAGGAGGAATAAGGCCACAGCTTTATTATCGAGCCACAAATTCCAGGCTGGATACACGTTTCAACAAAACTATAGATGAGAGCAGCCAATCCGGTTACTTTCCCTCCAAGTCATCGCCCCTTTTTCAGTGAAAACATTTGCTGTCATTTGACTGGCAGAAAATACCAATTCTGAAGAGTTCGCCAATTACATTAAAACATTACGAATACTGTCCAAAGTCTAATCTGCAAAGAGTCCAATTACAATGGTCAAAAAGACAACATTACATAATGTCTTTGGAGATGATCACCATAGGTTTATAGTTTAATATAAATCAATAGGGGATTGATGTCCGGTCAGTGCCAGTGGACAGCTAATCAGTGTTATGTATATTTACTACTTTGACTTTTAACATTACAAATGATGTAATGTTCTGACTCTGACATTTGACTTTAAACTCATTGGCATCATAGTTCAGCCGTGATGAAGTGTATGCCACAGGCGTACATATATTGACTGACATTGATTGTGCTTTTCCTTCTCTCCGTGGAGGACTGCAGGCACGGATATATATTTTTCACAGCAGCTTTTAGGCATGATATTGCTGACCCTTGTTTTTACTGGAAAGTGAGCGTGGCCGCCATTTCGCCAGGCAGTGACGGAGCGCTGCTCTCATCCATACTCTTGATTTGGACCGGCTCATGTGACCAACAGAGAGAGACGATAGCATTGAAGGGCTACTTTTCTGTAGCCTTGTTAACTTCTCAAATTGAAGCGGAAACAAAGGTCAAACTAAAAAAGGTGAAAAAGACAACTGTTCTTGTAAAAGAACGCTGTCAAGTGCAGCTCAGAGATAATGATACCAAAACTAAAACTAGTGACTCAAGAAAAACCTACAGCTCCAAAATAATACATTATAAAACGGACAAGTCAAATCAAGCAATCTGATTGGTTCTTAGCCGTGATATACTGAGCGTATACCACGGGTAGAATTGTAAGTTACTTTTCACAACAAGTCAGTATCCCTCCGCGTCTGAGAAAAACAGTATACCGTTGGGCAAACTGTAACAAGAAAGCAGCGGAGAAGTAACGGGACAGAAACCCTCCTTTTTACGCAGCGGTCCAGACATAGATATCAAACGGCAAAACATATTCAGTGTGCAGTTCCTTTGGCATTAGGGCAGGGATATCTAGATACTTTCCAAGGTTTGACATAATGAATTGTGCTGCTTCGCGTCGGGCCGAACCACGCCCCTTAGCTGTGATATAATGAGCATATACCACGGCCTGTCGTGAGCTATTGCTTAATTATATCTAGGATGAATTGTCATAAAAACAAATCTCCCAATGAAGATTTTGAAAACCACATGTAATGATACCCTGAAAAAAGAATTCTTTACAGCAATTGATGCAGGGAAAATATAGATGAACATTATTTTTTTTCTAATAATAAAATCAGCCTGAATGTATTTATCATACAATTTTTCTATTGAAATGTTTTATACTGTTGTTAAGTCAATAGCCAGTGTGATATGTAACAGATAACATTTTAATAGCTCGTACAACCAGTAAGGGTCATCAAACACGCTAGCAAATTAGATTGCTAGCCGTAGTGATAGTTTAGCTATCTGAGCCACAGGAGGCTCAGTGGTTTAGTGCGCTGACACTGGTTCAATCCCACCTGGACCCCCACTGCAGTCCGCATGTTGCATTGTCCCTGGGTAAGACACTATCAGCAATTGTTCCTGTGGGGACTGTCCACAGAATTTAGCGTATGTAAGTTGCTTTGGGTATAAGGGTCTAATAAGTAAAACATTTATTAAATTAATTAATAATGTAATCTCAGCCATTCCGTAAAGCATCCTACTGCTAGCCATTGGTTCTCTTTACCTATCATCAAAAGAGCAGCTAAACTAAGTAGTTATTATTTATATCTTATCATGGTCACCATTTCAATTTAAACAACATTATTGTCCTAACCCTAATTAAGCAGTTGTTGTAGGTAAACCTTACCTGACCAAAGCACTGTCTTCTGAATCAAAGTATCAATCGTTGAGGGTAGGTACAAGTGTTGATGCTGGTAAGATATTGTGATAGCTCTGGTTGAAAAATACCCGGCCTATACAGTAGTTACCATTGAGTAGAATATACTTTAGTTACATTCCTCCACAGAGAATACCTAATAATGGCCGTTCAACATTCGGTGACTTTCAAAGCTCGACTGTCATGCTGCCTAGTGACAGTTGCTAAGCTATGATTGGAAGATCGTGTCCCTGCGGAGGACAAAAAACGGTGAATCGTGTCCTTTATAAAAGGAGCTTGTCACATTAGTCATGCTTTGAAGGGAGACATTTTTCCCCTCGCTGAGTTTAAATGTCATTCAAGTCAAGCCAGTCTTATTTATCTTGCCAACATATCAGACATTTGCTTCAGCTGACTTAAAGAAAAGTGAGCCTCGTCTCAGTAGAAAATAGCCAAACAGTCACTTTTTGTTCTGCATGCATTGAAGTGATATTGAGTTGAGTTTGTCCGTCTCCAGCCATCAAGTTCATCTTTTTTTATTTCCTGCTTTGGTATTACTATCTGATATAAAGCCGTTAGAGGAGCCAGTGTTCACTACTGTATGTCTGCTGAACCAACACCAAGATATATTGACAGTCACCTTCTATTTCTTAAAACTCTGAGTTCAGTATGAGGCGTCTTTTATTTTTTTATTTAACCTTTATTTATAAAATCTCATTGAGACACAAGGTCTCATTTTCAAGAGAGACCTGTCAGTGGTAACACTACCACACAAAGTTACAGACAGACAGGACACTAAAATACAACATCGTAAAAAAAGTAGTCATTGAAATCCATATACAGTAGATATAGCAGGTGCAAACACCCACAGATGATTTCTCCAGCTTTTTTAAAATGAGTTTAAAATCTGTGATGGGTATCAAACTGGTCAGCTTAAGTTCCTGCTGAAGTGTGTTCCAGGTCGAGGGGGCAGAGTATGATATGGCTTTTTATGAACCTCAGAGCCCCATGGTAGACAGCGTCCAGCAGATGAAGGGAGTGAGCTGAGGCGTTCATGTACACAACATCCCCGTAGTCCAAGAGCGGCAAAAATGTGGCAGCTACAAGCCGTTTCCTCGCAATTGTGGAGAAGCAGGCCTTATTTCTAAAAAAGAATCCCAGTTTTAATTTAAATTTCCTTAAGAAATTGTCAATATGTGGTTTGAAGCAGAGATGTTCATCTATAGTGATGCCTAAGTATCTGTAGGTGTTAACAGCTTCAATGGGGTTATGCTGTGCAGACATGATGCAGGGAAGAACAGTTGGTAACTTTTTCTTATTGGAAAACAACATGACTTTTGTTTGTCTTATCTGAATTTAACCCCAACCTAAGGTGGAACAGATGTGACTGAAAAGTGTCAAAAGCAGACTGCAGACGTTCAAATGCAAGGGCAACAGTGCTAGCACAACAGTACACAACAGTATCATCTGCATATATCAATACTTTGACCCACATCATTTATATAAATTGTAAAAAGGGTCGGTCCCAAGACCGAACCTTGAGGAACACCTCTGGGCACATTAAGAAAGCTTGAGGAGAGACCGCTGAATTTTACACATTGCTTGCGATTTGAAAGATAGTTTGCAAACCAACCAACAGCTTGGTCAGACAGGCCTATATGAGATAGCTTCTGGCATAGAATGCCATGGTCCACAGAATCAAATGCCTTGGATACATCTATAAAAAGGGCAGCACAGTAGCTCTTTGCGTCCAAGCCCTCAACAATGTCATTCACTACTTTCAAAGCAGCCGTTACTGTACTGTGCTGCTTCCTAAAGCCTGACTGGTGAGGAGATAGAATGTTGTTCAAGCTTAAATATTCTTTGATTTGATCATTCACCAGCCTTTCAAGTACTTTAGCTAAAATAGAGAGCTTGGAAATTGGTCTGTAATTATTCATCACCATGGGATCACCACCTTTCAATAAGGGGAGAACATTTGCAGTTTTCCAAACATCTGGAATGACATTGTTTGTTATAGAAAGATTAAAAACATGACACAGTGGTTTGGCTATAATATCTGCAGCTAGCCGTAAGAAATAAGGGGGGAGATCGTCCGGGCCTGCTGATTTTTTAGGGTCTAGGCCCTTTAGAGCCTTACAAACCTCCCCAACATTGAAGGGGTTGAAGGAGAAAGTGTGGCTACTGGAGGCATGACTGGTGGTGATGGAGGGAGATGATTTACCAAACGATAATGTGTCAAATAAGGAACTGGAGGCAATACAATGTTTATTAAAACAATTAAGCATCTCTGTCTTAATCGACACAGGGATGGAGTCAACAACAATGTTAGGAGGCAGCTCTAAGGAGCGAGAGCTGGCAGAGAGGGATTTTATGGTATGCCAAAATCTCCTAGGATCGTTTAAACTGTCTGTGGTCTAGGATAAGTAAAAATTGCTTTTGGCTTTTTTAATGGAAGCAGTACAGCGATTACGCAGTGGACGA